GCCCCGGCCTCCGGCCTCGGCGGATTATTGGGCATGTGTTCTTTTCCCCTCGCCGCATGACCAGAGCCGCCGCTCCGTTGTGGACGGCGAGAACGCGGCTGCTGCGGTCCCCAACCGCAGGGGCCTCGGATTGAGCGTTTAGGTTCTAGGGCGTTTAGGGTTTAGGGNNTATGCATGCATGTAGTACGTACTCGTATGATGGACTCGGATGTGTGTCTGTATGCATGTATGGGTTTACGATGTACGGATGTACGGAAGTATGATACAAGCATGGATGTATGTAGGGTTACCTTCCTTTGTGCACCTGCATATGTATGTGTATATGATATATGTACTTACGTGTTTATCAGCGCAGCGTATGTGTGTACGTGTATATGTGTGTGCAGGGGTATATACGTCTACGTGTCTACACGTCTATATGCCTAGATGCCTTTAAATTTTTGTGTCTATATATTTATATGTCTATACATCTGCGCGTCTATATGTCTATATGTCTGATCTGTAAACAAATATGTATATGTGTAGATGTGTATATGTTTTTATGTTTTTATGTTTATATGTTTATGTGTTTACATGTGTATGTGTGTATATGTGGGTGCGTATATGCATATGTATATGTGTATTCGTGCTTGTGTTTGCATCTGCATATTACTATGTATCCGTACCCGTATTTGCATGTGTTGTCTAGTACTGGATCCTGTGTCTACCAACAGCATTGCACCAAAAGGTGTGCATTCTCTAAATGTGTACATGTCACCGACAGCAGCTAAACAGAAACAGCGGCAGCATTTATACATATGTTTACCTGCCCGAAGACCTTTTGCGCTTTTGCAGACATGGAGCTACTTGTTTGTCCCTGTCTGGGCATGTGCTTGCATGAGAGGGTGTGCATGCTCTGCACCTGTATCTGCATCGGTCTCACGCTTCTGGATTTCTCNNCTCTCTCTCTCTCTCTCTGTTTCGCCGCTGGTTGTGCTGATGTCGTGCTCTTGTTGGACGTGTTGGGTCACTTTTTGCAGGAAGTGAGCACGACGAGGAGGGGAAGTTCAAGGTTGACACTTCGTGCGCCGGGACCCGGCGCCAGCTCGTCACATGCGGGCCGCGGGGCTGTGGCAGGTACATCCACCACCGGACCGGTGCGGGCGGCAGCATCAGAGAACGAGAGAAGAGCGAGCGAGTGAGCGAAAAGAGCGAGATAGAGGTCAATCTATGTATGTGCACGCATCGAATTGGGTGGCTCTGCTTCGTGTTCTTGAGGCACTGGATGTACATGTTCGCACGCGCGTAAGGTACCTGTCTATGCCCAGTGTACACATACATACACAATGAATCTGTGTGCATGTTTCTGTTCATACGTGCAGAAGTTATGTAAACGAGCACATGAATCAACGTTTAGACGTGGTCTCGAGGCCCTAGTTACTAACCGTCTCTAGAACCCAAACCCTGACCCGAAACCCAAAACCCGGAACCCAAAACC